GGATGTGCTTAGACAGGCTGGCAGGTGAGTTGGTTTCCGAGAGGCTGGCCCGGCGCCCGAAGGGATGTGAGTCAAGTCTGGAGTCGTTCTGGCTCTTCCTTCTGGATTCCTGCAAACAGAGAGCAGTTTAAAAAAGTCCTCAGGTATCTTATAACCCCACTCACTCGGCATCAACGGACACAACTGCCCTGAGCCGCGTGCTTCAGCCGTGGGAGGGCCGTGGCTTGGTCGCCGCCAAGTCAGAGGGCCCTCGGGTTCCCGGCAAAATTCGCATTGGCGCCTGCGCTCCCCTCAGAGGCCCCTGCAGCCTGGTGCGCACTGGGCGCTGCTTGAGCAGAGGATGTGCCGGCCGACAGGAGGGGGGGCGGTGCTCCGCGTCCAGAGCCACGCGGGTCGGGGTGTCCAGTGGCGCCCCCCGCGTCTGCACAAGCGCCCGGCACCGCCTTCCGGGTCCTCCCCGCACACGGTTCCTCCCGAACCAGAGTCGTGGGCACACAGGCGGGAAACTGCCTCTCAAAGCTGAGCAGGTTTCTTTAGAGATTCTTGGAAACTTTAATATGCAAACGAGCGCGGCGACCTCCAGGAGACCTTCCCAGACACTGGCCCCTGGACCCTGTCTCGTGCAGTCGCTGGCAGGACGCCTTCGGGGCAGGGCTGGAGGCCTGGGGCTGCCGTGGCAGGTGGGCGCAGGTAGGAGAGACCACCTGAGACCACGCAGTGGTAGTGCCTATGGGCCTAACCTGGGAACAATCTGGAAAGCACAGCTGCTGCTGCTGCTGTATACACACGCCCCCGACAGAGGGACTGAGGACAGACCGCTAGTTTCAGGGCCCGGGCGGCCCCAGTGCAGGCACCCAGCGCCAGCCCCTCGCCTGCCCCTCGCTGCCCTCCCCCACTCTGCCCCCCCCCCCACCGGAACAGCTCTGAATGAACCTGTTCCCCATACTGGGCTTGTATGACACGTCTCATTAGAAGAAATGGCTCCACGTCTGGGGGGAAGTGGAAGGTCCCATGGGCCCGCGCTTCCATGTTACAGACGAGGCACCTGAGGACCAGAGAGGGAGAAGGACTTGCTTCTTCCCTGGTCGGTGACAAAGGTGCTGGCTGCTCGGTGAGGATGCTCGTCCCCAGTGGTGTCTCGTCAGGGAGGAGCAAGTTCTTGTGTCCGGGGCTGGAGGGGTTTCCTTCCCTGAGAGCGGGGTCGGGACAGGCCCGAGCAAACTCCCGGCGCGGCGGTCCCCGCGGGCTCTCGTGCACGCGGCAGGAGACCATGGTTCGCTCCGCGGGGGCGCTCAGGAGGCCCCTGCCTGGCCCGGCTGGAGAGCCGCCGTGGGACATCATACGTGGCCTGGTGTCCCTTGACTCCGTGGGTCGCGGCAGCGCCGGATGGGGAAAGACACGGAGCTAACGCGTCCCCGCCCCAGGTCCTGGCCGTGGAGGCAGGGACCCGCTGGGCGCCCCGTACATGCTGGCCTCCAGGAGGCACGCTTGGTGCGCCTTCGCTTCCCCCTTCCGCCCTCTCCGTGGCACGTTCCGTGGCACATGTACTGACTGGAGACTTTGTGTGACCGTCACTGCAAACCCAGACACACATTTCGTCCCTGCCAGTCAGCCCCTGTCCCCAGGGAAACCTCATTAGGAATCACAGGACTTGCGACGCTGTTTACATGGAAACCCCATAGGACTGGTGTCCGTGCGTAATATATGCTCCGGGATTAAAATATGTATATATTTTTTACACAATAATATGTTATTATTACCAGATTTTAAGAAACTCTTCAGTTTCTTTCTTTGGCTTTTCTTCTGCAGATATTTTTTAAACGGTAAAACTCTCCGTGGGGTTTTTCTCCCACAGAGAACAGCAGAGAGCACAAAAGGCCTTTTGCACTTTCTCTCCTTTAATTAAAAAAACTCACACTTGCATGAGAATTAAAGTTTGTCAGGTTAGGAAGCAAACGCCTAAGCAGGATCTCCCCTAATGCCGGGAGCATTTTGATGGAAGGTGTTGCTCACCTAACCCCCCCCCACGACCTCGGACCCTCGGAACAGAATGGGGAAGCTGCCCAAGCCGGTGAATCAACTCCACACTTACTTTGCCCAAAAGGACAAACACGGGCTGGTGCCCTGTGTGTCTCGTAGGGAACGGCAGGGGCTCGCGGGCCTGATGGCGGGGAGACTGTAGCCGCTCCGAGTCCAGACCGCCCGCCCGGGCCCGGCAGCCGACAGCACCTGTGGGTTCAGGCGCTGCAGGGACTGGGGTCCCGGGGCGACCAGATGGCCCGCAGAGCCGGGCGGAAGCCAGTGAGCGGCGAGGCGGCTCTGGGAGGGGCTCTCAGAGGAAGGGGGCGGATGGTCGCCAAGGCCGGGCTGTGGACGGGAGGGGGAGGCCCGCTGAGTCCGCAGGCGCAGCCCGTCCGCACTGCGAGCTGCAGCTGAAATGCAACTGTTTGTGGAGAATCATAAGCAATGGAAATTGGGTATTTTTTTATTAAAAGAATTTTTTTTAATGCTTATTTTTTGAGAGAGAGAGTGTGTGAGGCAAGTGGGAAGGGACAGAGAGAGACACATACAGACTCTGGTCAGCCCGGACAGCCTCTGACGCTCCCGCCCCACCACCGCCCAGAGCGGACCCCGCCAGGCCCCCCACATCGTCATCCTTGGGGCAGAGGCTGCCCGCAGGGGAAGGCGCCTCAGCCCCCTGGTCCACACTGCTGGGAATCCCGGTTCCAGAGTAGCTGCAGAACTTTCTAGGCGTGAAGGTGGGCTGGGACAATCTCCCTCCTCCGGGTGGTCAGCGAGGGGCACTGGGAGTCTGCCGTCTGCACAGCGCACGAGCCCCAGGAACACGCGGGGGCGAGCAAGCCAGGCGGGGTACCGTCCCCCCTGCCCTCAGTCCTCGGGGGAGGAGTCGGAGCCCGAGCGGGGAGCTCAGCCGGGCCGGCGGCACAGAGAGCGCCCGTCAGACCCCTGCTCGCTGTGAGGGGCCGTGAGGCTGCCAGCGGCCACGGGGGACACAGCCCCTGTCCCTCTGCAGTTCTGCTGCGATTGCTGGGCCCCAGGCCGGGTGACACTTCACAGTCCGCTGGGAAGCTCGCAGGACACGCCCAGTGCCAGGGCCTCCCGCTCAGCGGTCAGATCTGCCTGGTCCGGGTGGCCCCGGGCAGGGGTGCCTTCAGCAACTCTCAGGCGATCCTAGCCTCCCCGGGGGAGAGACGGACAAAAACAAGTCAACACGCGGGTACATACTGGGATCTGCAATCTGTTATTTCATTTCAGTTTCTGTATTTATTTGAGAGAGAGGGCATGCGAGCTGGGGAGGAGCAGAGAGAGGGTCCCACGCAGGCTCCGCGCTGTCAGCACAGAGTCCGACGTGGGTCCGACGTGGGGCTCCGTCCCACAGACCGTGAGATCTTGACCCAAGATCAGGAGTCAGAGGCTTAGCCGACCGAGCCCCCCGGCGCCCCAAGATCTGCAGTGCGTAAGGGCTGCGTAGGAAGCTGAGTGAGAGAATGAGGCGGGGTGGGGCCCTTCCCAAGTCTGATGGGCTTGCGGTGTCCTCGTGTGGGCGGCGGGGGGGTCTCCTGGGACACACTGGCCTCCCTGCAGCCCATGGACCCCTGCGCTGGGCCCACCTGGCAGAGGCTCAGTCTGCGGCCTGAAAGGGCCATCTGTCCGGCACCCACCCCACAGCCCCCCACGGGTAGGAGTGCCCCCCAGGCTGCCACCCTGAGAACGCCCCCACGCGCGGAGCAGTCGCTGAAGCACATTCCCCCCTGTCACCTGTGCGACTGGAGCCTGATGCGAATGCCCGAGGTGGGCGGGGTCAGCACTAACAGCCCTGTGATAGACGTGTGGACACGGGCCAGAGACGTGGTCTGACCTGCCCGAGGTCACACAGCTGGTAACTAGGTGTAGACACGCCAGTGTAGGTCACCGGCCTCGACCCCACGGCCCCCCGCCCCCCAGACACAGCCCCCATCCCCACCCCAGGGCCGGCCCCTTCCTGTGGAGCCGGGCAGAGCCAGCAGTTGGCATGCTGTCTCCCTCCCCCCGGGGAGTCAGAAAGGTCTGCCACTCGCTGCTGCAGCTCCTGCCCACAGTGAACCGGTTACCATGGTAACCTGACGCACTTCGTTGTCACGGGGTGGATGGTTTTCATTTTGTGTGTGAAGAGTCTGGCCGGCAGTCACGCGGCCATGCCGTGGCCTGTCAGGGGCACTTAGGGGCAGAGGGGATACGCTGAGCAGCCATTAGGGCTTTTCTGTGTCCGCAGACTATGGAAACCCATGTCTGGGAGCACCCCTGCCCCGCTGCCCCCCGGGAGGCGGGACCCAGTGGCCTCTCCTGGGCCCCCACGAGGAGGCTGTGCTCCCCACCGTTTGCTTCAATCTTCATCCTCAGGTGGGACGTCCTTGAGAACGAGGCCGGGCCCGCCCCTGAGTGTGAACCCCGGGGCCGGCCAGGCCGGGCACACGGCAGGGCCCCTCCCCGTGTCATGGCAGCAGACATCTCAGCCTCAAGGCAGGGGAGGGCCCTGAGGTCTCAGTCATCACTGGGCCCAACCCTCACTCTACAGAAAGGCGGAGATCCTGTCCATTGGTGGTGCCCAGGGTCCTAACAGCTAATGCGTCCTGGGTGCTGGCAGGTGCTGTCATTGTCCCCAGATGGGAGGCACAGGGAGGCCACTAATGTCCCCAGGATCCCGGAGCTGGTTAGTGTTGGGCTCAGGTCCCTGACCCAGGCCGTTAGGCTCCAGGCCCCCACGGGAACGCTCTGCTGCATGGTGGGGGCAGCACGGGGTGGGGGTGCCCTCCTCTGCCCCGGCGAGGCTGAGGCGTCTGCGCCAGCCTCGGAGTTCGCTCACGCGGGAGACCCTTCTTCCTCTCCCGTCCTGTTGTGACTGTAAACAGGGGCGCTTCCCCCCCCCCTCGCCCCTCCCAGGGGCCCCGGGGAGCCCTGGCCGCCCTAACGTGCTCTCTGCCCCCGCCCCCGCCCTCCAGCTCTTCGTGATCGACAACGGCGCGGACGACTGGCGCATCGCCATGACCTGCGAGCGCGTGCTGCGCATCAGCCTGGAGATGCTCGTGTGCGCCATCCACCCGGTGCCCGGCGAGTACAAGTTCTTCTGGACGGCGCGCCTGGCCTTCTCCTACGCGCCGTCGCGCGCGGAGGCCGACGTGGACATCATCCTGTCCATCCCCATGTTCCTGCGCCTCTACCTGATCGCGCGCGTCATGCTGCTGCACAGCAAGCTGTTCACCGACGCGTCGTCGCGCAGCATCGGGGCGCTCAACAAGATCAACTTCAACACGCGCTTCGTCATGAAGACGCTCATGACCATCTGCCCCGGCACCGTGCTGCTGGTGTTCAGCATCTCGCTGTGGATCATCGCCGCCTGGACCGTGCGCGTCTGCGAGAGGTGGGTGCGCGCGGAGGGGCGCGGCGGGGCGGCGGACGGGCCGGTGCCCGCACCCCTGCGGCTGGAGCGGGAGGGGGCGGGGCGGGGCGGGCGGACGGGCGGGTGCCCGCACCCCTGCGGCTGGAGCGGGAGGGGGCGGGGCGGGGCGGGGGGACGGGCCGGTGCCCGCACCCTTGCGGCTGGACCGCGAGGCCGATCGCGGACCCGGAAGGCGGGGAGCGGCGCGCCCGGCCCGCAGCGCCCCTGGAGCCCCTGGGTGGCGTCCGTCGGCCCCCCGCCCTTCCTCACGCGGACACCTCACCTCGCCGACCGCCGGCCTCTTCCTCTGGGACGTTGCCGGTGGGTCCCGCGATAAGGAAACTGGTTTCGTTTTGTTTGGTCCAGACTTTCGCAAAGGTTCACCCAGAAACCCTTCTCACGGTGCCCTGTGGGTGCCCCGCTTCCCAGCGTGTGTCCACAGAGCCGCCCGCACCCTGGGGGCCTCGTAGAAGGGGCGGCTGGGCCTCACCCAGAGCTGCGCCTTAACGGGCTTGCTGGTGGTCTGCATGGACCTGAGCCTCTGGGCGCCACGGGCGGGGGAGGATGTGGCCCCGTAGAGACCCAGGCTGGACCTTAGGCAGAGCGCCAGCCCCTCGGAGCTGCCATCCGGGAGCCTTGGGGGCCCGCGGTTGCCACTTCCTGACACCAAAACCCGCCAGCCGCCCTGGTGACACCTACCCCTTTCAAGCCCCGGACGTTCCCGTTAACCTGATCGCCCCGGAGGAGTCTGCACACCTACGTTAGCAACCTGGATTCTCTCCCTAAGTTGCTGTGACACCTCGGGCAAGTCACTTAACCTCTCTGGGCCTCGATGTCCTTCTTTTAAAATGAGGATCTCTCGAGAAGGAAGGAAGAGAAGTTCACTTCTTCTTAAAAATTTTTAGTTAGAAGTTACTTTATCACGTGGGAAGGCCTGGTCAAGACCCCGGGCAATCCGCACGGACCCTGGCAGCCACCCTCAGTTCGCCTCAGCTGTCCAAATCTGCGTGCCCGGAGCCCCAGCAGAGCTAACACGAGCGAAAGGAGCCTGGAGGAGACTCAGCCTCAAAGCACCTCGCGCGGGTCCGTAGAGCCAAGTCCCCCCCTATTTCGAGATGTTCTGTTTGCAGACGTTTGTCAGCTATTTGTCTGGCGGACACACAGACCAAGAGGGCGTTCTGCAGCGGCCGAGGGCCCCACGCATGCAGGGTCCGTCCCCGGGAGCCAGTGCGCGGGGGGACATCTCGGGAGCAAAGCCCCAGGGACACAGACGCAGCGTCCTCAGGCCCCGCCCTGTAGCACCCGGCAGCGCCGGCTGCGGGCAGGGGTGTGCCTGACGAGGTTTCAGGGGGCCTCCCCTGGGGGGGACACTTGTCCTTCGGGGGGCGGTTCCAGCCCTAAACCCCTCCTCATACTCCTGGCTGAGCTGCATCCTGCCGGCCACGGCGCCTCTCTGGGCCTCAGGTCTCTCACCTGCCAGCCGGGGTCGTAACACCTGCTTTCCGGGACTTGCTGTTGGAATGAAACCCGGTACCGTGTGGGCCCCAGACGCCGCCTTACGGTGAGAGAGGAAGGCAGTCACTGTAACGGAGAGCTTTTGGTGACTCGGGAATTTGGTGGCTGCTTCACGTAATTAGAACAGAGCGGCTCCTACCACAGGCAGACCCAGGCTTTCCTGTTCTCCTTTCTAACCGCTCCGGGCCCAGGCTTCCAACAACTGCGACTGAATCTGCAAGGCCCTCGAAGATGTTTGGAATCTTCCACAGCCTCCTAACAGCCCTGCGTGGCGCGCGGTGCTCACAGTAGCTTCCAGATGAGCAAACGGGCTGAGCTTGGAACGAAACGTCTGCAAGTGAGTTTCATTGCTTATTGAACCTGCCACAGGCCCATGGCTGTTTTCACTCGAGAATAAGTGTGTCGCGGGCAAAGTACTCTGCTGCTGTCTCTTGATGGGCACTGAGCGGCCACGAAGGCTCTGAGCCGAGGCTGGGCCCCCCCACCCCCTGCCCACAGAGGTCCCGGCAAAGCCACAGAGTAACATCGAGCAAGTCAAAGTCCTAACGTTCCCCCTCCGCCTCTGAAAAGGCCCTTTGACCCAACAGCTTGTTTCCCGCCCCAGCTTGTTACCGGCTCGGAGTTCTCATCCGTCTGTCTGTCTGTCTGTCTGTCTGTCATCTGAGCTGAGGAAGCTGGGACAAAGCGCCGGCCTGAGGTGGAAGCCGCAGAGCAGGGAAGTGTGGGGCCAGTTTGAACTTGGCCCACATGTGTCTCCCACCCCAGGCGGACTCTGCACTTGAAAGGAAACTGCAGCCTGGTCTCTCCGAGGGACGGGGACGGGGACGAGCTGACCTGAGAGTGCCACGGCGGTTCAGCCAGTGCTCAGATCCAGGCCCCCCTGTCCTTGTAGTGATGTCCTGGGGGTGGGGGCTGACTTCCGGGTAAATCCGGGCAGAGCCGAGGCGCCCGCCCCACGCCCACTCCAGACAGCTCTCCTTCCCCCGCCCCCCACAGCTGCCGGAAGGGAGCTGCCTGGCCCAGGTCAAGGCCGCAGCCAACACCTGTCAGCGCAGGCGTGTAAGGCCCAGCGCCTCTACCCCACGCGGGACGCTGGCCGGAGCGCAAGGGCTCCCTGGGTCGCCCGAGGCCCCCTTTGAGCACCTGGCACCTCCCCACCTCCCTCGGCCTGTGTCCCACGCGCCCCGGTGCCAATGCTCAGAGCCCCCCCCACCCCCCTCCGTAAACTTGCTCTGAGTCTGGCCTGAGGGACTATGGAAACACGTACAAACAAGTGTGTTTCTTCCTACTTGGGGGAACGCTTCTCTTTCTGTGACCAAGCAGTTTCTTTTTGGATCCAGCTTAAGTGGTCACTGCTGTGTCCCAGCATCAGGTCACAGATACGGGACAGGAGCCAGTCACTCAGAGTCCGCCCACAGCTGGCCCAGGGCTGCCCTGGGGGCCATGCCATCGGCCACGCTGAGGGTGACAGGGACGGGTGACCTCGACCTCCCCAGCTGGCCGGGGGACGCCTCTGTCCCCACAGATGGCAGCAGAGAGGCCCCCAAGCAGCATGGCAGACCTAGCGGCTGCCGCCGCCCAGGGCAGGCTCACCCCCCGGGGGGGGGGGCTCTCAGCAGCCCGGACCCCCCTTGTGCACACACTTCGAGGTTGCTATGGAGATCCCTCTTCTGCAAGACGCATTTCAGGAGACATTTCTCAGATCTCAGGCTGGCTTTCATGTGACAAGGAAGGGTTTGCACGTTTGCTCCTTCCGAGGAAGGGGAGGGAGGCGGCGCTTCCCTGGAGCCAGGAGGGCAGGACAACAGCTTGTTTTCCTTGGACCCGGAGCCGCATCACGTCAGGGCTGCGGCCACAGCTGTGGCCCTGGGCGTCCCCGGGATTCTCCTGGCTGCCTGCCTGCCTCCCACAGGCCTCCCCAGAGCCATCTGGGAACCTCCTCATTAAACACTGTCGCCGCCAGCAGCCCGGCCCCAGGGGCCGTGGGCTGGGGAAGGGGGCTTTCCTGGCCCGGCCTCCGGGTCCACCAGCACCCTGGGGGCGGCAGCAGGCCCCCCTTCCCCCCAACACTAATGAAGTGGAGTCTTGTGAGCCAGCGGAGGACGGTGTGGGCGGGATTCGTAGGCTTGCAAACACCTCCAGCCTCTCTAATGGCTTCCCTGGCCCTTCCCTCCTTCCGGCCAGTCGGCGGGGCTTTGCTGGTGACCGTGTGAATGCTCCTCTCTTTCTACACATTTGTGTTTCAATGAGAAACGGGATTCTGGAGGCCCCGCCCCTCAGAACGGGACGAAAACTACCCGCGGTCCATTCCTTCTCTCGTTCAAACACAGCCGTCCTTCTCATGGCTGCGTCTCAGGTCTGGTCTGGTCCACGGGTCTGGCCCACGCCAGCCACGCACCAAGAAGCGAGGACAGCGCCCTCCCCGGCCTCTCCTTCCCACAGACTCCCACCGCCGGGCAGGGGGCTTCAAGGCCCAGAAAGGAGTGGGGACACAGTCTACGAGGGGGCCCCTGATGGGGCCGGCACAGCCCCAGGCCCTTGTGGGTAGAGCTGAGAAGGGGGCTGTGGGTTCTCATGGGCCCCCAGGGGTTTGCGGTGCGGCCCCCGGTGTGCAGTGCACCCTGAGCCCCACTTCTGTCCAGTCGCTTTTGTTACAAAACTTCAGCTTTTCAGCACGCGCTATGCGAGTTAACCGTAACTCGTTTGAGAAGCGGATGATAGGGATACGCAGAGCTGACGGGGTATGTGCTCGGAATCTTTGTACTGACGGGAGTCCGTGATTTGGAAAGCTTGCCAACCACTGGTTTGGGGCGTCAGAGGACTAGTTAGTGAGGACAGGAAAGTACCTGCCACTTTGGACCACGCCTGCCCTCCAGCTGGAGGAAGGAGAAGCCAGGGTCCCTGGGGGAGCAGAGGGCAGAGCCCAAGGGGTGCAGGGGCCGGACAGTCACCCCCAAAGCCAAGGCAAGTTCACAGCAGAGTGCGGGGGCGGGGATCCTCCCCAAGGCCCTAGAAACAAGCCTGTTGCGTTAAGAACGAGGAAAATAATCCTGCAGATGCAGAAGAACGTTTAGTTATGAGAGAGACAGAGAGAAAAAAGCAACATTAGAAGGTCCTCAGGCTTCCCTAGTGGTGCGAGAGGCTGTGGTTTCTGTGCCAGAGAAGAGGGAGCAGATATGAAAGGAGACTGTACTCTGTTCACATAAGCACAGAGTTCCAGAAAACGAAAATTGTTTTAGCAAAAAGAAAATTCACATTGGAGGCACTGAGTGTTTAAAAATGTGGGATGTGGAGGACAAACTTAAAAGTTCTTTCAGAAAGTAGAACAGAACAAAGAGACAGAGAAGGCGATCATGCGTCAGAGCTGGAGGTCCAGGATCAAGGCCAGGCCCCAGAGCCAGAATAATTTGGATAAGAAAGCAATCATCAAAGACATACACCAAGAAAACGTTTCCGGAACTGGCTAC